GCTACACAGTGAGATACTGCATTAAAAAAATGATTGAGGTTGTAGATGAGTGATAGTGTGCTTGCCTAGCATGCTCAAGATCATGGGTCCAATCCCCACACTACAAATAAACACATACACAAGTAATATAGCATAGTTTAAGATAAATCCTCATCTCTGTGGTTAAATGATCTTTGACAAGGCTGCTAAAATTACTCAGTAGGGAAAGAAACAACATTGGGAAAACAGGATATCCATAAACAAATGAAACTGGATCTGTATCATATATCAGGAACAAAAATTAATTCAAAATGTGGTATATGCATAAAATTCAATACCATTCAAACTTGAAAAGAATGGAATATTTTATAACAAAATCATACAAACCCACAACAAAAAACATCCAACATGAATAAAAATAAACAAAGAACCTGAACAGAAAACCTTGCCATTTGACATGAATGTAACTAGAGGTTCATTATGCCAACTGAAATAAACCACTTACAGAAAAACAAATACTACAAAATACAACTTATATGAAGTACTTAGAAGTGACAAATTTATAAATATAGACAATACAATGGTAATTTTCAGGCACTGAGAAAAGGGAAAATAAGTTGTTTCTTAGGTATAGGTTTATAGGTTTTGGTATAATGTTTTGCAAGATGAACTAATACTGCAGATGGGTTGCACAAGAAGATGTCCCCAGACCATTACTGAGCAGAACCCTACAAATGGTAAAGATGGAGCTGGGAGCTGGTGACTCATGCCTGTAATCCTAACTATTCAGGAGAATGAGATCTGAGGATCACAGTTCAAAGCCTCCCCAGGAAGTAAAGTCCATGAGACTCTTCCCTCCATTCATCACCAAAAGCCAGAATTGGAGGGGGCGGGGTTGGAAAGGATATGTGTGGCAGGGTAGATATAGGGAGGCTGGATTTAAGCGGTACATGTTATAACGTGTAGAAATATCACACCAAAGCCCACCGATATGTACATTTAACACATACTAATCCAACATTAAAAACTAGAAAAGGAAAAGGATTATTTCCTAAATTACAAAATGTTTTATAAAATTCTTTTGGGGGTAAATCTAGATGATTTTCATTTATTTATTTTAGCTTTTTGTAAATATAATTCTGTTATTATTAAGGTCTTGTAGCGAGGTGTTACCATTTGAATTTTATTTGTTTTTAAATAATGATTTGTGGAGTTTATGATTTGGATCATAACCCATAAAAATGATAGAAATAAAGTTATCTCCATATGATAAGCATGGTAATTGAATGGGAAAGAATCAACAGATAGTAAAACTAGTGAATGGAAAAAAATCGGCAGCATATGCATGGCAAATGGCCCAGTCTGTCATTGAAGTTTTTCTTCATTTTAGTCTCAAACTACCTTTATTCCTCTGGTTTCCTTTTGGCCCTTAGTCCTAAGTTTGTGTCCTTCACTTGACCTTCACAACACTCAAAATTCACATAATTGAAAGGGTAAAATTGGTATGTAGGATTATTTTTCTTGCCAATATAAATTTTATTAGAAAGATGTCAGAGGCTAATAGAACTGGAGGAAAGCTAGAGAAGGAAACTTCAGAATAGGATAGAAACAAACACAAAGGCATGAACAGTTTGATGAGAATGTTGTCCTGGGAATCAAATCATATAAACTATTTTTTCACTCTTGTATTAATTACTTAAGTTTCAAATTCCAAAAAGAGAGCATGTAATTGACAAAAAGTAGGTTGCATGCTTGCCTGTTGGCAATTTCAAAGGGAATAATCTGGTTTATTCTTTAAATATGCTAGTCAAACTACTGTTTTCCTATTAATGCATAAAAATGACCACAAACTAAGTGGCTAAAACACAATCCTTTAAGATCTCCTAATTATTGCATGTCTTAAATCTAGGCATGGCTTGGCTGGTTTCTTTATATAGATAAGACTGAAACCAAAAAGTCAGTACAGGTGCATTCCTTTCTAGAGCCTCTGGGTGGAAAATCTAGTTTTAATCTCATTCAAATTATTGGCATAATCCATTCCTGTAGCTGAAGGTTTGAGGTCCTGGTTTCATTGCTGGCTGATAGATCACCCATCTTGTTTAACATATATCTTCAACCAGTTTCAAACCTAGGAACAGCAAACTTCCATGTATCAAATCCCTTCACTCTTCAAAAATATCATGTCAAAAAGAGTACAGTCATCTCTAAATTGCACCTGACCAGGACAGGCCCATACAGTATTATCTCTTCCCCACTCCCCCTCCACACACATACCACACATATGTACATGCATGTGCACACCCCCAAATTCCTTATTTTGACATTAAGTTACTATTTTTGACATTAAGTCATTCACTTACCAAAAATCCGCATTATAATAAAAATAAAACTATCTACACTGATAAGTATTTGAAAGTCTTTATTTACTTTCTACTACTTTGAAAATTACACCAGAATTTCCTAAAAAGAATCAGATCTAATCTGGGGTGTGTACTGGATGGAATGGCCTACTGAAGCCTACAGTAAGAGAAAAAGCTAAAGGGCTTAGTTCCAGGGTTTCTTCTCTCAGTTCCCGGTCTTAGGGTTGCATCCTTTTCCTTTTTCTTTTTCTTTTTTTTTTTGGGGGGGGGGGGGTCCAGTCGTGGGGCCTGAACTCTGGGCCTGGGCGCTGTCCCTCAGCTCTTCAGCTCAAGGCTAACGCTCTACCACTTGAGCCACAGCGCCACTTCCGGCTTTTTTCTTTTATTGCTTATGTGGTGCTGAGGAATTGAACCCAGGGCCTCAGGCATGCAAGGCAAGTGCTCTACCACTGAGCCACCTTCCCAGCCCTGCATCCTTTTTCTTTAGATTCCCCAAACTACCTAGTGAGTTCCACAATCTGATGTCTTAACAATATTACCCTCTAAACAAACACCTGTGCCTGAATGCCAAGAACAGTGGCCTAGGACTCTTCCACATCTTAGGTAACTGGCATGAGTTGGAGGATTTACATGAATAACATTATTTACATTAGATCACTGCCTTTTGGTCACAAGAATTGGGTAAGGACACAGACATCATCTCCTACCTATCTACAAATGAGCAACTGAAACTCAGGGAACTCCAAAGACTGTTAGGAGTGGAGATGGGAAAATCTTCATACACATCCCGCTGGTCTGAATTCCTCTCCCTACAAAACAATGGGGCGGGGGGGGGGGGGGGGGTGAGGAGAAAGTTTCTGTGGAATTGGAAATGATAGCTCAGGAAGACCTGTGCTTACCTCAAAGGCTTATGAACACATGGCTTGTTCCTTTCTGAAGCGGTAAAGTGGAGTCCATCTACCTGAACATAGAGGTTATGAACACACACTGGGAGAAGCTAAAGGGTTCTGTACCAAAATTAGCTGTGGGCATAACACATGGTACAAGCACCTTTGCTCACATAAGAACCAACCTAGCCCTAAAGATCCTAGTTTTATCAACAGGAGGAACAACAAACACGCAGAACTGCAGAAACCTTGGCCCAGATCTGAAGCATTGTAGGCACTGGACTGGGATAATCCCTGCCCCAAAGGCCCTAGATGATTAAGATTCCCAGAGGCCTGCCTGAGGAGAGGTTCATAACCCAGGCCTGGCTAAAATGTGAGATTCTACCAATGTTAAGCAGGAGACAGGAAAGGGACTGAAGACCTACACTCTCTTTCCTATGAATCCTGAGACCTCTCATTGGGAATTTGGGAATTATTTGGGAGCCCTTGGAAGCCCTGGACATTGTTGTTATTCATTCCCAGACCCTTTCCAAGAGATCAGACTGACTTTGATCTTGCTTTATTCTATTCCAGGAGTTCCTTCTTGCTTTCTCCCACACATCCAGATACCACTTAAAATTCCTAAAGAAGTTATGGTTAAGGCTTAATACCATCCTCAGTAGGACATCATTGCTTCTAGCATAGACTCAGCTCAAGCCAGAGCCTTGCTCAAGGTCACACACGGCTAGAGACTTTCTTACTCTGAAGGAAGATCTATAAGTTTTATCTTGTTCTCTTAAGCAATAGACTTTTTCTCTGTGATGGAGAAAAGGCCATTGAGGATGTCTTCACTGTCCATGAAAATCTATCTCTAGGGCTAAAGGAGCAGCTACCTGCCTAGCAAGCTAGATAGAGGCCAAGTTCAAGCCCCAGTTCTATGAAAGAGAGAGAAGAAAAGAAAGGAAGTACAGACATGTGAAGAAGGGAGGGATGAACAGACTCACTCCTGTAATCCTACGTAGTTAGGAGGCTGAGATCTGAGGACTGAGGTTCAAATCCAGCATCAAGAAAAGTTTCACTAGCCTTGAATGAAAAAGCCAAAGGACAGTGCCCAGGACACAAGTTCAAACCCAAGTAAGCATGCACACACACACACACACACACACACACACACACACACACACACACACACACACACACACACACACACACACACACACACACACACACACACACACACACCAAAAACAAATCTAGTATCTGTAATGAAATTTCCTAAGGAATAGCATTCATAGGAGTCCATCCCTTTATGAACAATGCAGCTACATGACAATTCTCACAAAAACTTAGGTACCTGGCTTCAAAAGTTCTTAAATTTCTACTCCTTCCTCCATCCTTGATTTACTTCATTTCCCAGAGAACTTAGCACCCTGGAATCAGAATCCACTGACTTTTCTCTCCCCACTCTGGATCTTGTCATCACCTGTATGTTCTAACTTACCAGTCCTTAAATTCAACTGTCTATTAACAGACTCAAATTTCACTATTCCATTTCTAATGTTTGAAATGGAATGAATGACCCCAGCATACTTACATGGAATTTACTGAATAATATTAGTTATTGGGTCTCATTAACACTTACATTCACTGATCCCTCTGTTCATTGATTCACAATTAGCAAGATACACACATATTTCTATCAGCTTAAAAGCTGATCTGCCCTTAGCTTAGAGCTAATTTTTCCCATTAAAGGCATTATCTCCCTAAATACAGAATAAAAACAAAGCACATAAAATTCACTTTGCAATTTCAATGTTTATTTCTGATACCAAAACTTGACAGCACACAAGAAAAAAAAAACAAAGCAATAGACAGGAACAGCAAATAAAGTTATCTTGCATGCCACTTTCCATCAACAGGATGTGGCTCTCTAGATAGATGGGTTTAGAAGGAATCTGAGGCTTCAGCCTCACTCGAGGGAAAAACTATTCCAATTGATGATGAGTATCCATGAACCTAAGAAAGAAATTTTTTTTAAAAAATCCTTGATATATATTAAATAGATGCAACATGACACCAAATACTGCTTCCTTTATTTCCCTCACCTCCACACCATGGCTTTTCTATGGCTCCTACTTTATGCATACAAATTTGACCTCATCAAACCTATACCCCTAACTCCTAAGAACCCCAATTGCCCAATCCAAAGTGATATACTTACCCAACATCTTACTCGACCCAGAAAAAACCAATGGCACCAAAGCTGGCAGCAAAGTTGGCACTGGCTGTACCACCAGGACCAATAATAGGACCAGTAAAGGTCTGAGGAAACCTGGAGCGGGCATTCTGGTGGTATCTAGCCCAGAAGGTAAATGGGATTCTGGACCAGGGATCTCCAAAATCTCCTTCCTCGTCCCAGGTCAGCAGCTCAAACTCAATGTCATCCCAGCTCCAGGGACCAGACACAGCCTCATCTCCAATCCCCATTCGGGTTCTTGCTTCAGCCCGGGCCTCAGCCTCAGCTGCTGCAGCATCGAGAGCATCCAAAGCCTCATCTGCAGCCTCCATGAACTGTGCAGTCCAGTCACGAGGATCTCTCTTCTGAACCTGAGATGAAAAATACAAAACAAAATAAAACTCAATTCACAATATAGCCAAACATACAATCATAAGTGTATTCCAATAGATGAACAAAAAATTGTGATATATATACACATACATGTATGTATACACACACACACACACACACACACATACACACTAATGGAAAATTACTCAGCTTTTGGTATCAATAAAACCCAACTATTTGTTGTCAATATGGACAAAGCTAAAGGAAACTGTGCTAAGCAATCAAGATACAGCAAGACAAATGCTGTATAATCTCTTATTGGTAGAGTCTACAAAAAGCCAAATTCATAGTAGAGTAGACCTGGAGCAAAGTGAGCAAGCAATAGAAAGATATTATTTAAAGGATATGAAGTTTCTGGTAGACAGGGTTAGATGAGTCCTGGAGACCTATCATATATAATCATGATTATGTATTAATGATTAATGATTATGTATTACATATTTGAAAACTGCTAAGAGATTGGGCTTTAAATGTTATTAACTGTAAAAAAGGTAAATATGTGAAGTAATGGATCATACACAATAAACATATTAACATAATACTGAACCCCACAAATACATACAATTTTTACTCATCAATTAAAAATAAGTGAAAAGAACAGTCAACACTTAAGAATAAATCATGTTGTAGCCCATAAATATTATCTATTTCTGTCAGCTATACTGTAAAGTTTAGGGGAAATTTTTCATTTTTAAAATATGGCATTTTATCTGCAGAACTTATTCATCTGCTCTAACTGAAATTTCATACTCTTTAACCAGCATCCTCCAATTCCCTATCCCATCCCCAGCCCTGGCAAGTCCCATACTGTTCTTTTATAAGTGCAACTCTTTTTAAGAGTCCACATTGAGATCATTCAGCAAAATAAAAAAATGTGTCTGTCTTGTGACTCGAAACTTAGGGCTTAGATGCTGTCCCTGAGCTTTGTTGCTCAATGGTACTAATCTACTACCTGAACCACAGCTCCATTTCAGGGGTTTGGGGGTTGGTAGTTAACTGGATTTAAGAGTTTTATGAACTTTCCTGCCTGGACTGGCTTTGAACCTTGATCCTCAAATCTTAGCTTCTTGAGTAGCTAGGATTACAGGTGTGAGCGACCAGCACCCAGCAATAATTTTTTTAAATCTTAATATGCATTAACCATCTAACATACATATCAACATATCAATGACCCTATTTGGGTACTGCTCACAGAGCAAGCAATATACCTAGGATATCATCATTCTTACTCTTGGCCATGGATATACCTCATCTTTTAACTTATCTTTCCCAGACACAGATATACCTCATCCCTTAACCTAACAATTTTAGAACAGTTCTTCTATTACCTCTGCAATGAATCGCAACACTTTCATCTTGCTAGTCTCATGGTAGGAACGAAGGCCCCAGAGGAACTCATACTCCGGAGGGTTGCTATTGGGCACTCGTCTATAGTCCAGATATCTGAAAGAGTGAAAAAGTCTGTGTCTACCTATCCAGGCAGAATAAAAGCCCATCAATACCTAAGAATCTCAGTTTGAAATTTATTTCAAGTAGTAACTCTCTTACCCTATATTCATTCCCAGACACAATTTAGGACATTTACTTATTAGGCCTTTGAATCCTGTGCCAGTTATTCTACACTAAGCAATCACTCACAGCTAAAGTTTGTACAATCACAGAAAAGAAAACATTAATCTTACCGTAAACCTATGCCAAAGCTCTAGCTCCACATTCTTGTTAATCCTGTCGAGCCATAGATAGGCCAATACCATCATTACACTACTGTGCAAACACCTCTACCTGACACAGCCTTGAGAATGTCTGTAGTGAAGACTATGGACAAGTTTCACTTATAAGATAACTATATATGGCAGAAACATTCAACCTTAAGAAGTATAATCAATAAACACAGTACAGATTTGCTTCTCTATGAACCTATATACCGAACACTGTTAAAAAACAAAGAAGCGCTGGGTGCCAGTGGCTCTCGCCTGTAATCTTAGCTACTCAGAAGGCTGAGATCTGAGGATCACAGTTCAAAGCCAGCCTGGGCAAAAAAAGCTGTGAAACTCTTATCTCCAACAAACTACTCAGAAAAACTGGAAGTGGCACTGTGGCTCAAGTGGTAGAGTGCTAGCCTTGAGCTGAAGAGCTGAAGGACAGCGCCCAGGCCCAGAGTTCAAGCCCCATGACTGACAAAAAAGAAAAAAGAAAAAAAAAGGAAGCATGGACAAGAAAAGGATCCATATACATTACTTACTTCTGCTTTACAAACTCATAGGTAAGAAGTTTTCTTAGGTCTCCAAGAAGGGGATGCCTCACCCTGATAGTTTAAAAAAAGGAAAAAGAAAAACTTAATCAGACTGACTTTGTCCAAAGGCAAAGGACTTTCCAGCACCAGGTCAGAAATATGAAAAGAGGCAGAATTCAAGATTTTCTATATCCCTCTATCTACCCTTGGACTCTGAACCTCCCCAAACAAACCTCTCCTCCAACACAACCAGGTTAATTCAATTCTGTGACCATCTTCTGTTGCCAAAATATGATTCAAACAAGCAAGAGATGAGAGCCAATCATACCCTGGACGCAGTCCCATTTTGCGTAGTGCCTCCCAGAGGACAGCTACAGTGGGAGGCAAGGAGAGACAAGACATACAAAATGAGCTTGGAAATCAGATTGTGGCCAACCCCCTACTGCAAGTCCAGTCACTCACCCTCACTGGCACGATTGCCATTCATAAAGATGATGCCCAGTATCACTAAGAGGAGACCCAGCTTGGGTGTGTCTTTGGTCCTAAAGGAGTAAAAAGAATATATTTTCAGTAGCTATTTGCATGAGCAAACCTCAGCCACTTTACCCAGGTAGCCTCCTCAATACAGTTAGATAGGAGAGAATTACACCCCCCCCCCAGTTCTGCTCATGACCTCCTTTATCACCCTAAACCCTCAATAATTTGAAACTCTTGGAAATGGTTTAACCATCACTAAGAAAGGTCATTTTCCTTTCCACCTCCTTTCCCAGCTTACGTTCCCAGTATGCCAGCAAGAGATTCAGGGGTACTGATGAGAATATACAGGTGTTCTTCCTTGTCAATTTCCTTTAGTTGAATCCCAAATTTCTATAGGGGTAAGAAAACAGACTATGAAATTACAAATCTGGCTACCCATAGGTAGTCACTCAGGTCTCTGTGAGACTTGTCCCAAATACCCAACAGGAATCCCATGAATCTTTGAAATCAAGACTTTTCCCATCATTCCATTCCTTCAAGGCTTCATTCTTACCTTCTCCAAGACAAAGCAAGCACGTTCAATGATTTCTGGATAAACATCAGTGTATTCTCGGATAATGTCCCTCAGCATTTCTGTAGAAGGGGGCAACTGGAGTGAGCAAGGGGAACAAAGCAGTAGTCCCTTTGCCAACCCTGCTCAAAGGTGGAAAGACGGTACCATGCATGTATGGAAGGAAAAGGACAGGAAACTAAAGGGTACCAGGCACCAAGGAGTCATGCTACAATCCTAGCTACTCAGGAAGCTTGAGAGCTGAGAATCACAGTTCAAAGGCAATCCAGGGAAGGAAAGTTCATGAGAATCTTATCTGCAATTTACAACCAAACAAAAATTGGAATTGGAGGTGTGGCTCCAGTGAAAGAGCACCAGCCTTGAGTAAAAAAGCTCAAGGGACAGTGATCAGACCCTGGGTTCAAATGCTAGTACCAGCACACACTACATAAGGAAAAGACACATAAGCAAAAGCAAAGGGATGTCAACAGAGCATATGGAAGGGGCCCTGGATTCCTACCTGAACGCTTGATGGGTACCTTTGTGTAGTCTTTAAGCATCAGGTACTTGACCAACTTATTTGCCTTGGAAGAGAAAAAGAAATAATCATATTTGTAAAAAACTTGGCTAAATATAAATTAAAGAACAATAATAATAATAAAAAGAAGGAAAGCAAAAAGTGGAAGGACAGCTCTTACTCTTTCCTGAAGAAGGGCCACATCTCGGGGCTGTGGGGCACCTAGATTCTGAGAGGCACGAGAGTTGGGGGAAGGTCGAAGATTAGGTGAGGGTCGCAGGTTCTGCCAGTCAGGTGGAATTGGCCAATCAGGAGTGATCCAGTCAGGTGGAATTGGCCAGTCAGTGGGAAGTGACCAATCAGGTGGCAGTGGCCAATCAGGCGGTAGTGGCCAATCAGGAGGGCCTTGCCAGTCTGGAGGGCCTTGCCAGCTTGCTGGGGTCTGCCATCCTGATGGGGCCTGCCATCCAGGAGGATTCTGCCAGGCTACGGGGTTTGGCCAGACAACTGGGCCAGGCCAGACAATGGGATTTGGCCAGATCACTGGATTCTGCCATATCACTGGGCTTGGCCAGATTACTGGATTTTGCCAAGCAACTGGATTCTGCCAGGCTGGTGGGGTCTGCCTAGCCACAGGGCTCTGACGTGCTGCTGGGTTCTGCCTGGCTGTCTGGTTTTGCCAGCCAGATGGATTCTGCCAAGCCAGTGGGGTCTGCCAGAGCACATGAGGGGGTACACCAGGTGCATTCTGAGTGGTCACTGGAACAGGTGGAGATCTCCATGTTCCTGCAGCCAGTGGAGGCTGTCTCTGATCCCCACTGTTCTCTTCCACATTTAAGTTATTAATCTGCATGATCAGAAAGAAGTAAAGTCTGAGGTTACTAGTTGGTCCTATGCCTTTATTGTATCTACTTTGGGAAGGTCCTCTAAACACTCACTTATAATGACAGCAGGATCACTAGCTACTAGTCACCTTGAACCCTAGACTTGTCTTTTACTGTCTTACAGGAAGGAATTTTCTCTCCAAACCAAACCAAGAGCAACCAAAGGCAAGGTCTGAGGCTTTTCCTCTTCTTATTCCCACCATTGCTTAGCTTATATAGCCCTGGATTCATATCATTTCATCTTTCTTACACGTATGCTTCCTTCTCTGTAAAACTGAGACTAGGAGTTTCAGTGTGATGGTTCATACCTTCAACCTCAGCTACTGAGGAGGTGGAAGACAGGATTGTGGTTTGAGGCCAGCCATGGCAAAAAAATTAATAATAAAGTTATTGAGACCCTAACCTCATTTGCACCTGAGAACTCAGCTCACAGGAGTTGAAGTTAGGAGGATCCTAACCCAAAGCTAGCCCTGAAAAAACTAAAACAAAAGGGCTGGCGGGCATGGCTCAAGTAGTAGAGCACTAGCAAGCACAAGGCCCTGAGTTCAAACCCCAGTACCACCAAAACAAAAAGTGACAACCAAAACAAAAAACCCTCAGACTATGATCCCAAGCTAATAAGGAGGTACCTGTAATTACAGATTTAATGAAGAAACCTGTATGAGTGTGCCTAGCTTGAGCCCTAACACATAGTGGCTGCTATATGAATGTAAGATGAATTGTACACAGGTAGTATATATTATCTGTGTCTCTGTATTAACTGTCCATCAATTTGTGGACAGAAGTAAGCATTTAACTCAACATCTACTACAAACTAGTTGAACAAATATAGGCAATTATATTTATATGTGTTTTTGTTTAAAACAAACCTCAAAGAAGAAAGGATAAAACCAAAGCAAAGTGATGTTAGTAGAGATCTCACCTTGCGGGTTCTCTTGCCTCGAATTATAGTCCGAGACTCCAGATTCTGAGCCTGGGAACCATCTGATGTCTGTGCAGCTGCACCATCAGGTTCATATATACCTAAGTTGGTCTCTATGTCACCCTGGGAATTGGCCATTTTGGCATCAATTAAGTTCTGGCTCTGGCTATCAGCTGTAGGAGCCTTAGTGGTATCATTCCACACCTTGAAGGTTGTCTTAGGCCGGTTGTTAGCTATCTCATTGGCCTTAGGAGATGGAGACAAATTGTAGTTGTCATTTGGGCCCACCTTAGTAGTGGCTTTCTGAGCCTTAAAGGCCAACTCAGACTTGGTAGTGGCTAATTCACCAGTACTTCCAGCTTGGGAAAAATCACAGGCAGTATTTGGACCCCTCAGAGTGGTATTGTGGTACTTAACAGCTGCCTTAGGCTGGGTATTGGGCATCTCCTTGGCATTATGTGTCTGAGAGAAATCATAGACACCATTTGGGCCTTTTGTGGTAGCATTCTGGGCTCTAAAAGCTGTCTTAGGCCTAGTGGATGCTACTGAGACCTCAGTGTCAACCACTGCATTGGCAGTTAAAGGCTGTAAACTCTGGGGACTAGCAGTCTGGCTGCTGGCAACTGCTGTGGCAGGGTTAGTAGGTGGAGCCTCTGAGATGTGGATGGCCTCCATCAAGGTCTGCATAAGCAAGGTGCTGTCTTCTACAGAGGCCTCAGCCTGAAAATACAAGAGAGAAAAAATTAAATCCCAGGCCTCAAAAGCCAGAGAAGGAGTGGCAGAGCTGAGAAAGCTCAGAGGAGGCAGACACTGTCACAGTGTAAAAAACAGGCCGGCCAGTGACAGAGATCTAGGGGCAGACACCGGTCCAGGGAAGGAGGAGGAGGAGGCAGGCCAAGTACAAACTGGTAAATATGGGGGAGGGGTAAAGGGGTGGAGTTGCGCGAAGAGACTGCGTGGAGTTGGGTGGGGCACTGAGAAGGGCCCACGAGGTTTGCAGTGGGAACTCAGTATTGTGAGGCGGAACTAGGAGTTGAGGCTAAGGAGAATTGCAAAGGGTGAAGAAAGGTAGAGGAGGGAGTTTGGGGGAAGGGACGACAGACTGCTCTGCACGCATCGGGACTAGGGTGGGGGGGAAGGCTCCTTACAAACCAGCAGTCTCTGGGCAAATTGCCTTACTAACAGGGTCTCCCCTTTCTCTGAGCAGGGACTAACAGCAAAACGGGACGCCCCTCCCCCCTTCCCTAAATGCTGAGAATGAGCAAGTCAACGGACTCTAGGCACGAAAGGGCAAACCAGATCCTGGCAATTGGGCAACTGAAGAAGCCCAAAGGGGGAGGCTTGTCCACTTTGAGAAATGGCGGGGTGAGGAGAGGAGCTCACCTGGAAGCCGAGAAGGCCCGCACCACAGTCCATTTTCTGAGCCATGGCTCCCGTCTCCAGCAAGAGCGGAGCCTAGGGGGTGGGGTAGTAAAAGAGGGGCGAGGCATTACACTACAGAAGGCAAATACAAGGGGCCGGATAGGGGGTGTGGTCTGGTGGGAAGCAGAGGAGAGAACTGAGGAGATGGGTTTGAAGAACCGGCCAGAATGGGGCGGGAAAAGTAAATGGCTTTCCCAATGGAGATTCAAAATGTCCAGTAGCTGGCCAGGGAAGGGCTTCAAATTTGCGGTACAGGAAGTATTAAGAAGCGTGGATGGGAGGTGAGGTTAGGTTGGAATTCCAATATGGGGAGTTTAACAGACATTCAAACTAGATATTGTTAAATGCTACAGACTGAGGTAAAAACAAAACACTAACAAAAAAAACTGTGAGGGTTCTGTGAAGTGGGTTCAGAGAATGAGGGTTTCAAATCAGGAAAGATTGGGGTGGGGGGGGTAATTCGGGCTTCAGGCAGCGGAAGGGGGTTCTGAATCGAGAGGTAAAGGAACTGGAAATTTTTTTTTAAATGGAGGGGATCCGCCTGTACGACGGGGCAGATGCCCTGTGGGGGGTAAATCTCACCTTGCCTTCCGCAGCCCCAACCCTAACCCCCTCGGTGCTTGCCTTCTTCACGACTCAGGATCAGGATTGCGTTGTTTGGCTCAGCACTGCACTCTCTCCTAGTCCAGGAGAAAATGCCAGCGCGGCAGCAACGACGACCCCGCCTCTTCAACTAATATACCACCCACGGCTTGAGGAAGCGGCGCGCATGCGTAAGACCTAACTGACCAAATAAATGTCCCGCCTCCTTTCCCAACAAAAGCTTCATCCAGGAGACCACTGTGCGCATGTGTGCACCAGAGGAACAGCCTCTCCTTCTCACCCCCCCCCCCACCCCATTCACCGCTTTGCCAATACACCACTCACCACAAACCAAGTCCACAGGGTAAAAAGACTCTTCCTCTTTCTGTGCACGCCTCCCTGACAGAGGAGCCTATAGCTCTAGGTTCCACCCTTAGCCCCTCAAAGGGCTCCCTACCTATTCCGCAATGCGTGTCTATTCTGTCCCTTGAAACTCCCCTATTGAGAGCCCCTCCAGCCAGGTCCTCTTGTCTCTCTCCCCTGTTGCCAAGCACCACTTAGGTCTTAATTGAGGTATCAATATACGGGGTCTCATTGCAACAAGTGTTTGACCTCTGTGGAGTTGACCTACTTTCGGACACAGGAAATAACAAGACTGAAAAAGCCAGAGTATGGAGTTAAAGTAGCAATACTTCACAAGACTCCATGTTACCCACTCCCCTCTAGCTGCCAGACTAAGAAAGAACAGTAGATTCTTTCCTGCTCTTTTTTTTTCAACTCCAGACATGAAAATACTTTTCGAAATGTGGGGGAGGAAAAGGCACAGCTTGTACTTCACAGCAGGGTCTGTGCTGGGGCTTGCTTCCTTTTCACAGTAGCCTTGAGAAGTTGGTGCCAGCACCCCCATTTAAAAACAAATAGAAGCTGAGACACTAGTCAGACAAGGCAAGTTTTGATTTGCATTTTCCTGACTGCAAAGCCCATGCAACCTCCCCTACCCCAACACCTGCCCAACATGAAATAAATGTGTTATGTTCTAGAAGGCCTAAACTCATGCTTTGAGTTCTATATATGGGGGTCCAGCCAAAAGTGGAACTTGTGCCTTGAGGTCCATTCTGTGCTCCCACCCACAGGCCTCTTCCTATGAGTAATGTTGTCACACTGTCCCTCAGGCCTTCCTTGTGCCTGCTAAACCTGAAAGAACAGTCAGATGCTTATGTGTCTGCCCTGCAGGGAGAAACTGGACTAGACCTCAGAATTCCAGGGACTAAATACTGGCTGCCCTTCTCCAACTGTGTGAGCCTCATTTCTCAATATTCAAAAACACAGCAAGTGAGTCTTGCCCCCCCCCCCAAAAAAAAAACTACACAGGTTTCTGTGCTTCTAGGATGACTGGAAAAATTCACCAAAGCAGAAGATGACATACAGATGTAAGGTGACTCAATCAAACTAAACTGATAATGCTTCAAAATCCAGGTAGAACTTCATGGATGTCCTATTAATTCTACCATTAGCTCCATCCAGGCGCCTGAATATGAAAGGAAGCTAATGGTAGGAAGGACTGCAACATTTGGTCCCCAAGGGCCAACATCAATTCTGCCTGGCTGGATGACTTTCCTCTTGTGTTGCATAGCAACCTACCTCTGTCAGCTGCCTGTATTTCTTCAGCATTTCCTCTGTAAAGTGTCTGCAGTAGGACGTGATCAGACTCAGCAAAAGAGATTCAAGATGCATCTTATAGGCTATCAACATCCATGAATTCTAGATGTGTAATCTAATCAAGTACCTCACTTCATGAATTGCATATCTTTCAGTATTTCTCCATATGTATTCTCCTTTCCACCATCCCTTCTCCATATGCCTTCTCTCTCCACATCAGAATATAAGCCTTTTAGGCTGATGAATTTTTGTCTGTTTTATTCATGTTATATATCCTCAGTACCTAGAATAATATTGGTACATTTTATATGTTTAATACTTTTTAATCAGGAAATTAATCACGTCTGCCTTATTGCTAAAGAAATCTAAGAAGCAGTTTTGCTTTGATAATCAGGAAATTAATCACTCTGCCTAATTGCTAAAGTAAGAAATCCAAGCAGTTTTACTTTGATAAGTTCACTTCATCACACAAATATTTATTTTTTGTAGAAATAATGCACAGATTACAAAAACTCAAACACTATCTAAAATATTTTAAAAATTAAATAGACATCACTTTAAATGTCACTACTTTGTGATGAATGCTAATCTTATGTACCTTTTATATACCACATACAGCAAATACAGATGTGCATTCTTATATCAATGACATTATAGATATACTTTATTTTTAAGTTACAGTATTTTGCCTGTTTATTCTTTCACTTCTATCTCCACCTGTCAGACATGCTTTAGTCCCATGTTTGTACTTCCATGCCCCAAAGGTCATAGTTTATTTTATAATAACTAAGATCATATTTTGTAAACTTTTTTGCATCTGATTTGTATTATTTACAACCTACTTCTTTAAATTGATTCTTCTGAATAGGTACATAATCCATGATAGTAATGTACTACAATGTATTCAAGCATTCCCCACAGATAAGACTTTAATGTTAGTTTAAGACCTTCAGCAGAAACACATGCAAACAATACTACAATCAAAGTACCTATGTGTATATTCATTTCAATGCCTAATGCATTTTTATTTCTACGTCAGCATATACCCAACAGTAAGAATGAAATACTTTTTAGTACTTGATAACAGACTTGTCCCTTATTTTGCCAATTTAATGTGTATTTTTGTCATTTACTGGTAGTTTTAATTTGTTTTTCTGCTAAGTGATGTGGGAGAATACACTTTTATAAAATAATAGAAACATAAAAATTCAACATAAAATATGTACAAGTCTTTTATCTATTTTAGGAAGAGATTGCTTTATCTTATTGTTTTTTGGGAGTCCTTCAACAGAGCTTATTAAAAACTTCGATGCTGAACTCCAGGAAATAGAAAAACCAAACAACAACCAAAAACAGTGGGAGATGGGAAAGGACGGGAAGGGGAAACAAAGGAGGAGGCAACGATGCTTGATAAGAAATGTACTCATTATCTTGCCCATGTAATTATAACCCCTCTATACAATATTTTCACAAAAAAAAAATTGGGGCTGAAGCTGGGAATCGGTGGCTCACGCCTGTAATCCTAGCTACTCAGGAGGCTCAGATCTGAGGATCCCAGTTCAAAGCCAGTCCCGGCAGGAAGGTCCATGAGATTCTTATCTCCAATAAACCACTAGAAAACTGGAAGTGGCACTGTGGCTCAAAAGGTAGAGCACTCAGTAGAGCACTCGCCTTGAACTGAAGAGCTGAGGGATGGCGCCCAATCCCAGAGTTCAAGCCCCACGACCGACCAAAACAAAAAAAAAAATTGGGGCTTAGCCAGGGGCTGATGATTCATACCTATAATCCTAGCTACTAAAAGGCTGAGATATGAGAATCGTGGTTCGAAGCTAGCCCAGTCAGGAAAGTTCATGAGACTATCTCCAATTAACCACGAAAAGCCAGAAGTGAAGCTGTGGCTCAAGTGATACAGCACTAGCCTTGAACTCAAAAGCTCGGGGTCAGTGCCTAGATGGGAGTTCAAGCCCCAGAACCAGCACAGAAAACAACAACCAAAAACAAACAAACAAATTGGGGACTGGTTAGATGTATTTAAGATTTTTCCAATTTGTGTGTGTGTGTGTATAAGTTCCCATTTCTCTGGTGAGGGGGAGGGGAATAATCCAGAAATGCAATTTTGAGGTTTTATAGTAAATTCATGTTAGTTTTACCAAAAACTACTGAACTTTCCTGGAGCAATCTTATCACTCCATCAGCATTATCTACCCAGCATTTGTTATCTATATTTTTAGCAACTGATGTGTAGGAACATCTCAGTGTGGTTTTGATACCCCTAATTTGTGGTTTTGATATCCCTAATCATTTAATATGTGGATATTTTTCCATGTGCTTATTTTCCATCCATGTATATTTTGCCCATTTTTGAATTTTTTTTGACTTTTTAAAAGGTTGCTTTGATAAACTATACTCATAAGTTGACATATTGAATTGTTAACTATTTAATGATAATAAAAGTGTAATTAAAGACAATAAAAATAAATTATGAGCCTTTTCGTCAAATATTGTGTTTTCTCTTGATTTATAGCTTGACTTTTCATCCTTTTCATACAGTTTTTTTGAGAAGTTAGGCCTTCCCACCTAGGCAAAACATAGCATTAGGGAGGGGCTCCAAAATGGTTCAAGTTCGAAGGTGAAGGGGGGAAAGCATGACTCAACAAGATGCATGTTCCATGAGGGAGGTAGAGGATGACTCATCAAGATACTAGTTCAATGGTGGAGATGATGACTCAGCAAGAGTCTTGCCCCTTGTGGCTATGTCCTGGTGAGTGCCTCTATCCACTCAAGAGCCCCTTCTGTATTCTTTTTTTTTTTCTGTCAGTCATGGGGCTTGAACTCTGGGCCTGGTACTGTCCCTGAGCTCTTCAGATCAAGGTGAGCACTCTACCACTTGAGCCACAGCACCACTTCCAGTTTTCTGTTGGTTAATTGGAGATAAGAGTCTCACAGACATTCCTGCTTGGGCTGGCTTTGAACCGTGATCCTCAGTCTCAGCCTCCTGAGTAGCTAGGATTAACATGTGGCTCATTCTGTATTCTTGTACTGCATGGAGATGGGAGAACCAATTGTGAGATTCCACTTGGTGCATGTCTACTCCTTGACCAACTCAACCAGGATACTCTAAAGGGAAAGAGGCAAGGGACATCAGAAAAATCCTCATGGAACTCAGTTTATGACAGACGTTTCCAGATTTCATGTTATGAAACAAAGCTGACCTGAGAAATGCTGAAAAAATGGTCTATTCCTACCCAATCATAGCATATGTATTTGCATATGGATAAGTGCAAGTAATACACATCATCTGAATTTTTTTGACAGTGCTGGGGCTTGAACTCTGGGCATGGGCATTGTCCCTGAGGTCCTTTTGCTCAAAGCTAGCACTCTACCATTTGAGCCACAGCCCTACTTCCAGGTTTTCTGGGATTAATTGGAGATCAGAATCTGACAAACTTTTCCTACCCAGGCTGGCTTTAAACTGCTATCCTCAGA